TAAAGAAAAACTATACACTCTGTCTTCTTACAATTGATATTTAGTCCTTTCTACCCGCTTTCCTTTACAATCTTCTGTAGGAATTCCTGTATTTCCCTGTCTGTGTCTGTTATCAACACTGTGTGATCTGCGTACTTAATGCTGTTATGATTGTCGCAGCCATTAATGAATCCTGATAGGACTTCAAATTCTCTCAGTATCTCCTCGCTGTAAAATTTGGATAAGTCCGGTGAGAAAACACATCCTTGTTTTACATTGATTTCTATTTTTGTATATTTACTGAATTCTTTTTTTGTTCTCGTGCAGATGATTTGATCCCAGCATAAGTTCTGGATTATTCTAATATCCTTCCAAAATATATCAAGCTTACCCAAATCCTTCAACAGTTATTTGTGTCGTACAGTGTAACCCGAATATAAGAGAGTTGTCGGGACCGGAGAAGAAGTCTCTTATATCCGGGTTTCTCTTATATCCGGGTTTGGTCTATTTTGTTTAGGTAACACAGGCTCTAATTTGGGACCAGAGAAAATCTCTCTTATATCCGGGCTTCTCTTATATCCGGGTCTCTTATATCCGGGTTACACTGTACTTGTATCAGTTAATGATAATTATCTCTAAAAAAAAAAGTTTATAATCAAAAATATTTTCCGATTATAAATAACTTGCAAAAAGTTGAAAACTCGAAAAAAAAAAAAAAGAAATCAATCATGAACTTCGTTGATTTTAACGTCCCTAATTTGTAAATCTTAAGTCAAGAATTTGTTATTTCTCTTTCGAAAAATGTGTAGTATTGGTTCTCAGTAGTAAGGAATATGCTTGTAAAATACAAGATTAAAGATATTTTGATTGGTTTGGTTTACAGCATATCAGCCTCAAAGTGTTATTAATGTCGACAGGATTTTTATTGCTGGTAATAATTTTTTTTAAATTTATTGCTGATAATAATTTTTACAAAGTATTTATGGTATTAAAACCTATTTTTATACTTTCATAGTGTTTTGACCCCAGTTTGGGAGTTAACTATTTACCCATAACTGGGACCCTAACAAGTGCTATCACCCCGAGTCAGGGTGAACCTGGGAACACCAGAAATTAAGAGGAGGATACACGCTCCTCAAAACCTCCTGATCAGAGGAGAGTTTTGACCCCCAGTTTGGGGCGTTATCTATTTACCCATTAAGACCCTAACAAGTTCCAGGGTGAACCTGGGAAATTAAGAGGAGATACACGCTCCTCAAAACCTCCTGATCAGAGGCCTTTCATAGTTTTGACCCCAGTTTTTATCTATTTACCCATAGCTAAGACCCTAACAGGTGCTACCACCCCGAGTCAGGGTGAACCTGGGAACACCAGAAATTAAGAGGAGGTTCCACGCTCCTCAAAACCTCCTGATCAGAGGCCTTTCATAGAGTTTTGACCCCAGTTTGGGGCGTTATCTATTTACCCATAGCTAAGACCCTAACAGGTGCTACCACCCCGAGTCAGGGTGAACCTGGGAACACCAGAAATTAAGAGGAGGTTCCGCTCCTCAAAACCTCCTGATCAGAGGCCTTTCATAGAGTTTTGACCCCAGTTTGGGGCGTTATCTATTTACCCATAGCTAAGACCCTAACAGGTTCTACCACCCCGAGTCAGGGTGAACCTGGGAACACCAGGAATAAAAAGGAGGTTCCACGCTCCTCAAAACCTCCTGATCAGAGGCCTTGTTGTCGGATGTAGTTCATCGTCATACCCAGGATGGAAAAGATATTTTGAGACTCACGCCACTTTTTAAATATAAGGATTTTTATTTCTATTTTTGTCACTGCTTTGTTTTTAAACTTCTAATTGCGTTAACTGTGTTTCCAAGACATTTGGAAATTAATGTCAGCCTACTAGAATTTGATGCCGTAAATAAATTACAAATTTATCCTTGCTTCCCACCTCTTAAGCTACAGCTCACCTTGGAACTTCTCGCATTAATTCATCTTTAATACCTGCTTTTTATCATCCATTTTTCTCATAAACTGTGGGGTATTTTTATTGCTATTCTATGGAGGTTATCGCCATTAAAGTGTTAGTAAGTTGAGCACAGAATGACGTAAAGAGGAACACAGTCTTGAAATTTCAGGAATTGCTCTTTCGGTTCTATCTGCCATGTCATTACGGACAACCATTAAGATAATAGGCATAATCTCCTCAGGTTTTTCGACACACGAGTAGTCTTTACCTGCTTGTTGTCCAGATTAATGTCTAAAGATCTGAAAGTTCACTCCTACGCACCCAGGAAAAGAAGATTACGTTTAATTCATCAACTTCGCTGTTTTTATCTTCATATAGTTTAGTTTGGCACAAGGAAACATAGAATCTAACTCACATCACATAGGACGAGATCTACGAAATAAGTCTGCTAACCTTCTATCCGGATGAATATATATGGTTATCATCGCGGAAAAATGGATTAGTCCGGCTGAGTTCAAACCCTGTGAATGGATTAAATACACGGTTCCATCTCTTCTCC